CTCCATCCTGCACTGCACTATCTTCAGTGGGAGCAGTCTTTGTATCCTTCCTTGGGCGTGAGCACCTTCGTTGGGGGATACTATTTCTCCATATCAGGTATAATCCTCTCCTACTCCTTTTGGTTCAGATCTGGTTCAGATTATGGTTCAAGAATGATCATTGAAAATATGATTTTCTAAATAGGAAATGCTATTCCAAGTTGAAGGGAGAGAAATTTTTTTTTTTTCGCCCCCTTTATTCCGCAAGATTTGGGCGTCCATATGATGGATCTCTCATCCCTTCAAATCTAATAGAAGCAGAAAAGAAAGAGTGAATCAGCCTACTAGCAAAGTTCAAAGACATATTTGCATGGTCCTACATTGAAATGCTAGGCTTGAACCATGGTTTAGTAGCACACTCACTTCACATAGAACTGTTGGAAAAATGGGATCACTATAACTTTGGAGAAGAAGCTCTGAGGCGCGTCTGAAGACACTATTTTTAGAACGTTATTTGCCCCCACTTAGTTTTACCGAGTTTGCTGTTGGGTTACAAGCAAATCCGTTCCCAGGTACAACAGAGCCTTGGGTGAGAATCTGCAACCAGAAAAGTTGAAGAATCTCCGAAGAAACCTTCTGTGAGACTATAGCAAACCGGACTAAGAGAGAGAGAAAGTGGATTTTGAAATTGTGTGTTTTTGGAGTCTGATTCCTCCTTAAATAGTTTATGAAGAGGCATGAAGAAAAGGTAGGTGCTGGTTCAGAGAAGGCACCTTGAACAGTCACAATTTCAAACATTGTGATTGTTTAAAAAGTAGTTAACAGTTAATGACTGTTAACTTTGAATTGTRCCTCTTGATCACACCCGATCGAATCGTGACCATTGATCTCATCAATGGTGATCAATGGTCAGCATTGCACCAATTCAAGGATCTTAGGTGGCATTCCTTTTGAGAGAGTGATGCCATGGTTGAAAGGAACGAATCCTTTCTTGGAATCTTGCATATTGAATCTTTTGACAATCTTGTCAATGTAACTAGATTAGGACAATCCAATTGACATCTTCAATCTATCTTTATAGAGTCGAAGTTTCATGATATAAGAAGCTTCTCCAAGATCTTTCATGGAGAATTACTGTGAAAACTATACCTTCACTGTTGTTAACATTCATGCATCATTCTTGATGAGCAAAATATCATCTACATATAGAACTAAGAATGCAACATTGTCTCTCAAAATCAAACTATTTGACTGTTGATTCAAAACAGATTTTCCAACTTCTAGAAGCTTAATTTAATTCATATATGGATCTATTGAGCTTACACACCATGTGTTTCGGACCCTTGGCAATAAAGCCTTTCGAGCATATAGATGTCTTCAATAAGATTTTCATTCAGGAACGTAGTTTTGACATCCATTTGCTAGATTTCATAATCGTAGCGTACAACTATAGCCAATAATATCCTAATGGATTTAAGCATGGCCACGAGCAAGAAGGTTTCTTCATAATCAACTCCTTTTTTAGTGTAACATTTCTCCATTAGTCAAGCTTTATAGGTCTCAACTTTTTCATCAGGGCCCTTCTTCCTCTTGTAGATCCACTTGCAACCAATTGCTTCCACTCTAGGGGTGGGTCTATCAGAGTCCAAACTCTGTTTGTATTGATTGAGCTCATCTCGGTTTTCATGGAATCTACCCACTTCAAGAAATCCATCTCTAACATAGCTTTCGTATAAGTTAAGGGATCTTCCTCAYTGTTCATGACTTCCATCAAGTAATTTTTCTTGATCACACACGAAACATACAGGAGGTTTAGATACCTGAGTAGATCTTCTATGTTAGATATTGATATCTAGAACTTATGGGTTATCTCCCATTACCCCTAAGTCCTACAAATAGGCAATGACTGGTTTTGAATTCCAGTTTGTCTACACTTGTCTTTTTTACATGTCTTGGACAACCCCATACTTTAAATTGTCTAACACTTGGTTTCTTGCCAATCCAAAACTCATATGGAATCTTAGGAACCGACTTGGTTGGAACCCGGTTCAATACGTAGATCACAGTCTCTGATGTGTGTCCCCAAAAGGAAATGAGTAATTTTGAGTGGATGAGGAGTGGTCGAACCATATCTAATAAAGTCCAATTTTTTTCTCTTTGATACATTGTTTAATTGTAGTGTAGCAGGAGGAGACAATTGTGATTTAATCACTTTGCCCTTTAGGTAGTCCCTAGATTCACTAAAGGGATATTCACCTCCTCAATATGATCTAAAGGGCATTGATTTGTCTCCCTAATTGTTTCTTGACTTTATGTTGAAATTCTTTGAACTTTTCAAAAGATTCATACTTATGTCTCAATAGGTATATGTACCCATACCGAGAATAATCAATTGTAAAATTTATAAAATAAGAATGTTAGTTATGTGTCCTAACATTCATGAGACCACATACATCTGTATGTATAAGGTCAAGTGTGCTTGCATTTATTCCAAGCTAATTTATAATTGACATCTTGATCATCTTGCCTTGAAGGCAAGGCTCACAAGTTGGTAGATCTTCAGAACCATTTTCCACCAATCATGTGGTTCATTTTATGTTTGTGTCCAAGCTGGTAAACATCCTTTAACTATTTCTCGTGTTCTTTTCATGGAAATGTCTTCTGAGGTTGTTTTAGTCTAATTTGTTTCTAGAGAAATGTGGAGTATATAGAGATTATTCTCAAGTTCTCCATAAGCAAGGAATTTGTTATTCAACGTAATTGTAATCTTATTACTAAATAAAATAGAATAACCATTCTTACATAACATAAAACTAAAAATCAAATTTCTCTCAAGTTGCGAAACACACAGACAATTTTTAGGGTAATAATCCCTTCTCTAAAAACTAAGTTTATTGATCCTATAATAGCAGATACAACCATTAAGATGTACCCATGTAGAGCACAATCTCGTCATCACTCAGTCTTCTACTTTCCTTGAACCCCTACAGAGTGTTACATATATGAGCACAATCTCGTCATCTATGACTTGAGTTTTGAAAATACCTTCTTTCTTCTTAATGGATTCCAGGTATTGAGGACAATTCCTCTTCCAAGGCCTAATCTGTTTGTAAAAGTGGCACTCATCTAATGACTTTTGTCTTTTTTGCTTCTTTGATTTGCCAACCTTCTTCTGAGGCCTCTTAGAAAGTTTTATAGAATTTATAGATAATATGAGCATGTTTTTAATATTATATGTTCTTCATGGTGTACAAAAATATGTATGATAATGAGAATTATTGTTATTAAGGATGGAAGTGGCCAAAAATACAAAAAATAAAGAAACCAAAAAAAGAAGGGATTAATGCCTTACCTATGACCCATTGGCCTAATCGTATAGATCACTGGTTCAACAAGAAAAGGTCATTCACTCATTAACCAAGTCAATAGACTTTTTTTTTCTTAATGAATATGGTTTTACTTGAAGCATACTACAAAATTTGTCTAGGCGATTGTGTCAATCAATTCAATTGCCCAATTCAACCCCAAGTTGAAAACATTGATATATATCGTAGGTAAAAAGAGTTGGAGCTAGGTATTTAGGTTGAAAGGCAACAAATCATTAAAATTTTATCATTATCATCATTTAAAATTGACACATGCAATACATGTGCACATTTACTAGTACTCCTTAAATATAAAAATTGGAAATATAAAGAGAAATTGGGGTCAGATGCCTAATAAGAAATGCAAGATAAGAAGATAAGCATCTTATAAATTTTTTCCTAGCGTCTTATAAAATTTTCGTATTTATGAAAAATCTTGGTTAGGTTCCTCTCAAAATGACCTTGGTGGAGGTTTAAGGAATTTTCCTTTTATACAATCACAACTTTTTTAGTAAAATTTCCAATTTTTCTCTATGCAAATGGGACCCATTCAGTACTTATCCCCTAATTTTCTATAATTGAACAATGGCAGGGTACCAGCTCAAAAACACCTCATATTTCTTCTTATGAGGTAAAATGGTACAACAACCTAAACGGTGTCTCCTTAAATAAATTAGATTAAGGTTAAAGATATTGTGAACTACTTTATCTTCAAAAAAAATCTACTTTTCCCTTTAGTAAAGGGAACAAGGGCTTACCCTTCTCAAGCAAACTCAAAATTCTTTCTTTTCTTTGTTATCCAAGCAAACTCAATCTTTTAACTTCTATTAAAGTTCAACCTAACCTAAATTAAAATATTACCCAAATGTTTTTTTTTTTTTCTTTATCAAAAGATTAGATTCTCACGCAAACTAAAATGGGTTTCTTTCTAGTCTCGTCCCACCATGGAGACTCACTAGGCAAAGATTGGGCTTGAAACATTGCTTTTGATCCCACGATTCTACTCCTTAATGAAACTCCTCAAAGCAATCCACAAATCAAAGGGGAAGTGGAGGTTACTGAGCTCTCAAGCTGCTCCAACCCAATGGTAGGCCCTAATCCTCTGACCTAACAATAGAGCTGGAATCAGGTAAGATTCCAATGGATCCAGCTACATCTGAATTCAATCTTATTATTGAAAATTGAAATCCAAATCCAATCGGTCGGTCTTGAGATCTTGAATAGGATTGGACTCGATCACATCTTATTATTGAATATAATTATCTATTTATATATTATAAAATTTAATGGGACTCACATCTTAATCTGATCAGATGAGATTAAATTTACGTCCATCTGAATCCGAAATAATCAGATTGGTTGCCGGATTGTGGGTTTCGGATCTACATACCAAGTTCCCACGGGCCTATAGTAAACTATGGTTCCTGTGCCTGCATTAACCATTCTTTTCTTTCCTTGGGGTAAACGGTTAGTTCCACGTAAACTAAATTCTTTTCTTTTTCCGTTCAATCAGCACACAACCTCTTAACATATAATTAATCATTTCAGCCTAACCCTACACTCTATAATCCTTTCCTTTTTATTCTTGGTATGAACTTTATGGGTAAGCTTCCTCCACAAACATATCCAAGCCCCATTATAAAGCGGAGGAGAAGAGTGAAAATGCATCTCTAATTCTAAATTCCTAAAGAACAAGAAGAGGAGAAAAGAAAAAGTAAGGAGAGACTCAAATTCTCAGACATCCAAATGGCATCTGAAATAAACTTGAAGCTTCTGGTAGATATGAACACCAACAAGGTCCTATTTGCAGAAGCAGGGAAGGAGTTAGTAGATTTCGTCTTCCATCTTCTTAGCTTGCCAATGGGCTCCATAATGAGACTTCTCATCCCACTAAGCTCCAGTAATGGATGCTTTGGCAACCTGTACAATAGCGTCGACAATCTGCATGAAATGTACATTCAGGCTAACACAGACAAGGCCCTTCTGTTGCAGCCTGAGATTGCATCTTCAACATCATCTGGTTTCGGCCAGGAAATTGTTCTACTTCAGCCTCAGAGTGGGATCAGGGCTAATCCTTTGCCAAAACTGAAATTCTACAGGTGTCCGAGGACATGCGGGACCGTGACCAATGTTATGTTTACTCGGTGTACTTGTGGATATGAAATGTCCTCTGAAATGCAACTAATTGAACCAGCGGTGGCGGCCACACCTACCAGAAGAGGTTATGTAAAGGAAGTGGTCACCTACATGATCACTGATGATTTGGAGATATCACCTATTTCTACAGTCTCTACTATCGCCCTCCTCAGCAAGTTTGGTATTAACGGAATAGATGCCTTAGAAGAGATGGTTGTGGAGCTTGGCAGGGACGAGGTAGCACGTAATCTCTACACCCGTCCACCTCTCTCTCTCTCTCTCTCTCAAGGCTGTTTTGGTTTTGTACAGGGGTTGGCTTTGTTAAGGGCTTCATTACAGCCGAAGTCAGTTCTCACAAAAGTTTTCCAGGGGGAGATATCTAAAAGAAGTCGTCTATCAGTTCCATCAAATCCGAGGAGGTCTCTATAATCTGTTTTTCCATTGATATTTGAATAAAATATAATTAAGATGATCAGAAGGCTCTATTTATTGTTACTAGTGTATTTTATTTCATTTACCTTGTGGGGAGTTTCTATTTATTTCTATGATATAGAAACACTTATTATCTTGCATGCATTTCATGCAGTAGCTAAAATCCCCACAGTTTTCCATCCATTTCGAGGTGCACATACCTCAGCTCATAGTCACATGATGTTGCAAAATGCATTAAGCACAGGGTGCAACCTTTAATATATATAAGCTACACTTTTTTTTTTGAATTGAATAGAGTAAAATTTGCACTGTTTTTTTTTTTTTTTTTTTTTTTTTTCTAATGTCGCTATAGTTCTGTGAAATCTGAATATTCACTTAAGAGGGTTTTGCAATTATAAGCACTACTAGAGAAGCATATAGTTTTGTTTCCTTTTCGAAGTTCCCTCTAGGATGAAAGTAGCAGCATGGCTTCTAACTTAATTCTTTTGGATGCCAGCACATCTGATAAGAATTCTGAAGCTGTTCAAACTGCATCAAATGATAGGAAAGTGCAAACGGAAGACATTCAAATAAGCGTGGTAGATGGGGAGAAGTAAACGGCAGGCCTGGTCATGGAGCCAATTATGAACTTCATTGATTCAACACCATCTGGAAGCTATGGCATTCCATCACATTCGACCATGATTCTTGTTTACAGCCTTCTATTACAAATGTACTCTTCGGCCTCTGGCTTTTATCCTACAATAAAATGAAATGGGTTTGTATCAGTTGAGGAAAAAAACTCTAAATTCAAAATTGATGAAGGCCTTGTCATTTGTGATTTAGGAGCTTCGTTCTCCTGAGTTTTTTTTTAAAAAAAAAAAAAAAAGTAACTGTATAAAACATAACATCCAATTCTGCATTGAGAATATCTCCATACTGGATACTGTGCTCTCATGGTATTTACATGGTTTTTGCTTTCAGGAAATCCTGCCTCGTGTTTTAGTCCTTTGCATAAACAGGAATCAGTGGATGCTGAGACAATTATGAATTGAGATCCACATATGAGAGCTAAACATGGTGTGTCCTGATTGACACCAATATTACGAATAAAACCGTAGAGGATACGAACTTGGGTCTTTTATGTTCGCTCACCCAAGGAGTCTTTACAGAACATATCAAATACTGCATTGCTACAGGAGTTCGAATTTGCGCCCCACCGCCTGGCACCCCAAAAACGTCCCATACAATAGAAACCCACCGCGTGTCCTGCCCCCGCAGGACCGTGCCAAATTTCACCCAAAACAAAAATTTTCCCCCATTCTTGCTCATACTCGGTCTCTCAACCTGCCCAGTTTAACCAACCCTGACCCCTGTACCTCCTCCCCCATCTGAGCTGGGCAAAAAATCCGGCATCGACAACCGTTCCAGCAGACACATCACATACCGGAGGTATTCTCCATCCCTCTCATGATTGAGGAGAAAAAATGGAGAAAGGAGTAGTTTCTTCTATTTCTTAACTTATAGGGTTCATTTTACAAATACTGCAGAAACAAAAACTTTGCGCTTGTGAAACAATTTAACCTTTGTCCTCGCCAAGTAGAAGTCTCTGGTTTCATAACAGAAGAGCCAAGTATTCATCTGTTCATAATTTTCCTATTTTGTGCATAATATATGTTTGATTGAAGTGGGAGTTGATTAAAAACTTGTTTTGAGAAAATGGGCTTGCATTAAATTTCCATTTCTTTCTTGAAAAACGTCTACTGGACGAAGTTGAAGCAAACGGAGGTAGAGTACGAGTATTTAAAGCGTGCTGCGAAACACTGACGGAAGAGAACAGGAGGTTGCAGGAGGTTACAGGAGTTTGCAGGAGTAAAGAGCCCACCCCTTCTACATGCAACTCCCAGCGACCACCCTGACCATGTGCCCCTCCTGCGAGAGCGTTCCCACCACCTTGACAGATCCCTCCACCATGACAGGCACCAGCGCCGCCACCACCACCCCAGCCACAAACAAGGGATGGGAGGTACCTCTAGTGTGCCTACCAGAACAGTCGTCCACGCCAGAATTCTCGCCAATCTCAGATGAGGGAGGTGCAGAGGTCAGGGACTCGGGTAACACAGGGCAGCTCAAGAGACAGTATGAGCAGGAATGGGGGGAAATTTTCAATTTGGATCCGCACGATCTGAGGGGGCATGCGTGTGGGAGGACACGCGGCGGGTTTCTATTGTGTGGGACATTTTTGGGGCGCCAAGCCGTGGGGTGAAGATTTGAACTCTTGCTACTATGGCAAGCAATTGTGCTTTGGAGTTGCAACTTCGTCCAGGTTAGCCCAATGCAAACGGACCTGATCAAATAATCGAATCTTATCCATCGGATTTATATAGGATTCGTGTCAACTCAATTTACAGTCAGATATTGAATAACATAATTAATAAGTTAAATTGAAGCGAAAAAAATTAATAAGTTAAATTAAAAGTGATTGAAATATTATACATCATGAACAAAATATGTTGAAAATAAATTTTATGGAACTTCAATCAATGACTCTTAGAATATAAATTTCAAGTATATATAGCAACATATACATTTGAATATTAATTTGGACAATGTCYAGGGTAAGAAATATGAAAGGGGTGATCCAAGTGTTTGAGAAAATGTCAACTTTTAAAATTACTTTCATAAAGAGTTGTGTGGTGGGGATCAATATGAATGAAAGAGAGGTGACAGAATGTGCAACCATTTTGGACTAGAAGTTTCCGGTGGCCAATGAATTACTTGGGATTACCTTTGGGAGGAAACCCAAGAAATGTGACGTTCTGGAACTTGGTGGTGGACAGGTCTACAAAAACAAATGGAAGGCTAACTCTGATCAAGTCAACTCTGGCCAACTTACCTGTCTACCTTCTTTCAATTTTCAAGATTCTTGTGAGGATTTGTAAAAGCGTAGAAGAGTTAATGAGGGATTTTTTTGGAAAGAATGGAAGGACCACAGGGTTAGATGGGAATTAGTAAGTAGAAGTAAGGAGTTTGGTAGCTTAGGGACTGGGAACATCCACAAGAGGAATATGATGTTGTTAGGTAAATGGTTGTAGAGATTACAAAAGGACAAGGACAAACTGTGGACAGAGCTTATTATAAGCATCCATGTGCTAGCGGCTGATGGCTGGGATGCCAGAGTTTTGGCATGAGTTACTAGTGTGACGCCTTGGAAAGCTATTCATGCCATCCTTCCACACTTCCTACCCTTTGTTAGGTATAATCTGTGTTCAAGGAATTTGGTAAGATTTTGGGAACATGTGTGGGTGGGGAGATTCACCACTTAAAGATCAATTTCCTCTTTATATTCTTTTTCTAGTAGTAGTTATAAAAATGAGCATGTTTCTACCTTCTTATCCTCTTCTGGTTTAGAGCCTGAACTAAATTGGGACTTGGGGTTAAGACGGGGTTTCAGAAACTCAGATGTGGACAATATCTTGGATTTGATCCAAATTCTCTAAAAGGTTCTCTTGGATCCCTCTAAGTTGGAGTCTCGAATTTGGACCCTTTTTTCCTCTAGTTGCTTTACTTGTTCCTCCTTCAAAGCCCTATCACACCTTCCAGTCCCAACATTCTTTCCCTATTAAAGAAGTGTGGGGAAACTGATCCCGCCAAAGGTTGGGGCATTCTGCTAGGAAATATTCTTGGAAAGAGTTAACATTTGCAACCTACCTCAAATAAAGAAGCCTTTTTGGTGCTTGTCTCCTAACCGGTGTACTTGTAAAAATGGCAAGTTTTGTTACTACTTATTTATCTCTTGGCCCTTTATTTCTTCTATTTGGGTTTGGTTTCATTCTCTATTTGGTTGCAGGTGGACTCCCCCACCAAGTCTACAAAGCCTCTTTGACTCTTCTATTGGTAGATGGACAAAAAAAGAGGGAAAAAGATTGTAGAGATGTACAAGGGCAGCAGTTTGTTGGACAATTTGGGAAGAAAGAAACCAAAGAATTTTTGCTGAAAAAGAAAAAAGCAAAGAGGCAATCAAAGAAGTGATCACTTCCAAGGATTAAAGTATCGATATCGGGTATCATATCAGACCACTCGGATACGGATATGGATATGCTTTGGAAACACATGGATACAGACGAAAAGATATGGATACGCCAAAAAATGCATACAAATTCCATAAATATATTAATAACATTATTTTTAAGATCAAAATAGCCATAATTAATGTATATATACATAGAAAATGTATATTCTAAAGGTATATGTGAAGAAATATACTATAATTAATATAGTGGGATGCATAGAAATCATAAAATTTTATTAATATGGTATGAATCAAGAATCCTGGAACATATATATATATATATATATATATATATATATATATATATTACAAATTAATACATGCACAAAGCTATTATTATATTATTTTCTATTTACTTTCAAGGCACAAAACATATGCAACTATTATATGTGAATTACTATATCGATTATTTTATAGCGGGATGCATAAGAATCATAAAATTTTATTGATAATGTATCAATCAAGAATCCTGGAACACATTATATATTTTTTTACAAATTAATACATGCATAAAACTATTATTATGTTATTTTCTACTGAATTTCAAGGTACAAAACATATGCAACTATTATATGTGAATTATTATATCGATTATTTTCTATTTTACTATTTTTAATTTTTAATATTAACCGAAAGTCAACTAAAAATTAATTCTCAAATGTTAAGTTAACAATACTTCTAAGATACACATCATATGAAAATTCAAATTTTAACTACTAAAATAATTATTCCATTATTAATATTTTTATTTCCATAAATTTTGAGATAAAAAAATCATTTTTTGATATAAATGTAGACTAACGACTTTTACAAATTCAATTTATATTATATTCTCGTGGTTTTTGTATATAATATTTTTATTTTTATAAATAATATACTTTTATTTAGTTCAACTTAAAATATTAATTAATAATTTATAAAATGTTAAGATACATATCATGTTCAAATTTATAAATATTAAGTACTAAAATAATTATTCTATTATTAATATCTTTATTCATATAAAGTTCTTGAGATTAAACAGATTTTTTATATAAATGTGAATTTAAGAAATTATTTATTCTATTATAATATTAGTTTTGAATTTTTTTTATTTTGCTGGAATTGTTAAACACAAATGTAATTTATCTGCATTACATGTGGACACTAGAATAGAAAAAAAGCTATTTTATTTCATTAAATTTCATAAGATGAAAAGTGGCCTAGTGGATTAAGCGCGTGGATAAGGCTTTAACGCTGGGGGATATTTAAATCCTTGGTCACTTCTACTTCTAGGGTGGTGCTTTGGGTAAAAACAGTGGAGATATTCAAGGACACCCAGACAACGACACTACTGAATTGGAAGGAAGTAGCAGAATTGGCTTCAAGCAGAAGTGTTGCTCAACTTCTATGGTCTCTACCTTGTGCAAGGTTTGTTAAGCATAACTTTAAGGGAAGCAGTGAAGGTAACCTTGGTCCATCAGGAATTGGTGGAGTTTTTAGAATGGAGGAAGGTTCAGTCATAGCTTTGTTCTCAGGCCCAATTGGTGTGGGAGACTAATTGCCTGCAAAAATGATGGTTTTGATGGAAGGTGTGAAAAGGGATAAGGAATTAAGTGTTAACAAGATGATCATTGAAGGAGATTCTAAAGTGGTAATTGGTTGGTTAGGGAAGGAAGGTGATGGATTGTGGACATACATTAATGAACGAAGACAGTTCACGTGGCTAACTCAAGGTATGGAGGTGAGAGTGCAATGGGTAAAAAGATGTGCCAATTCTTTTGCAGATGCACTAGCTAAACAAGGATAGGGAAGAAATCAGTTACATAGGGCTACCTTGTAATGGTATCTTTTGGGGGAGAGTTAAGAGAACCTCCCCCCACCATTGTAATTGACTATTTCTTTTTAATGGAAAGTAATTGTTATTAAAAAAAAAAAAAAAAAACATATACATTTAAGTTGAATAGAATGGATTATATTGAATGGGATAGGGGTGGATCCATATTCAATCCAATTATAAATATATTGAATTCAAAATCAGATAACAGATTTTGTAGCCCTACGCCCAAATCCAACCCAATAAATTGGGATCGATATTGGTATCTTGAAGCACCATATCTTTGTACACACATATGACTAGCCTCCTCAGAAAAAGAAGCAAAACAAATTTTTGGATGAATATCTAGTAGTGATAAATCAAATCTAATATAGTTTCTACATCTGTTATATATACAAGTATATGGTCCAGGGCCTGGTTTGAGTTAAAAATCTTTTATTTTTGTAAAGAAAATTTCATTTAAAAAGAAAGAAAAAAAAAGGAATACATGACCAGACCACACTAATTAACCAGGAGACAACTCCAACCTAATTAACTCAAGCTTTTATAACATTAACCAAGGCCTTTAGCGGCATTTATATCCTGGGTTCAACTAAACAAACCATAACCTATCTGAGATGGGAAAAAGATTGCTTCTTTATGCCATCCAGTCCATCAGGGCAAACCCTGCATCCCTTCACAGTATTTCAGCTTTGCATATCTTCCAGCCTCCCTTAAACTCTTTCAAAACCCTCAATGTGAGGTGAGAGAAACAGTAGTATGACATGGATTTTGGGTATTCTTTTCTGAAAAAAAAAAAATAGCATGCAACTTTGTGGAGGCATTGAAGCTGGGAAAGGAAAAGAGGGATTACTGACATTGGTAAAATCTCTCTATTGCTGATAACATGGATCAATCTTTTTCTATATCTGGTATAAAGGTATAGAAAGACATACAACCTTTTTGAGGAAGAGAGAATAATTAAACTTTAGAAATTTATAGAGGGAAAAATTAGAACTGAAATTTTAAGATATGGTTAGAACTACCTGAAACTCAAGAGAGTTCTCTTCACACCCCCATCTAACACAATATGCCACAGGCATTGGGTGAAGAGTAGAAAACATTATTTACAATGCCTTTATACATAACAACCAATGTATTCTTCCAGCAATCAAATATTCAATCAATGTACATTAAATCAGCTTACTTATTTCCAGTAAAACATACAAGTAACACTAGACAAATTAAAGAAACTTCAAATGAAGTTACCTTCTCACTTTTCTAATTTCCTTCCAATGGGGGGACTTAAGAGAGAGTTGTGTGGCCAATTATCTGATTAGAGATGGACATTTTGGCCCATCTATTAGAACGGTAACAGGGACTGTCAAAGTGCATTCTAAATTTCAAATTTCTAGTACATACATCTCAATGTAAAAGGCAGACAACAAAATGTTAAACAGTGCTCATGACCCTTCACCTTAAGATGTAAGGTTTTCCTCTTGTACTTGTATCCATGGGTGGTCTACTGTCAACAGAATAGCAGAATGAGACGGAATGAGAAATCAAAAACCAGAGTCTTAGTATAGAATTAGAAAGGGATGAGAAACCTAACAGCATAAAGAAATACTTCTGATGAGTTGCTCATCTGATACAGTCCTTGGGCTAAGGGTACGAGGAAGGATTTTCCTCATTGGTAATTATGTTTTTTCCCAAGATAGATGGACATAAATTCTAAGCAAGGATTTTTGTTTTTGTCTTCTTTAAATATAGTAACAATGGCACTTGCTAAATATAATTGGACTTTTTCTTGTTTTCCCTTCTCTTCTTCTCTTCTCTTTTCAGTTTTGCAGGTATTCATACTGAAAACAATTGTGATGTCTGTCTAGTGGGGATGGTGAAAACGATTGGAAGATGGTGCAACCATGAATACATAATTGGGGCCAGCAAATGGGGATGATTGGAAGATGATGAGAGGCAAATCGAGGAAATCCAAACACTAGAGTGAGTCCTGGGGATGAAACGAGTGGCACGAAAGTCAGAAGAAAGCAGGCAAGTGTTGGTAGTAGTTTAAAGTGTTAGACAGTGTATGCCCTTAGCTCCAATCAGATTGATGTACTTATTATCATTTATTGTAAATGAATAAAAGTGCATAATTGATTCATGTTATTTTGGTGTGTTTCTGTGTAATACCCTTACACTAGACACTTATGAGACTCGTATTAGTTTAAAATCTTCACAGCCGTTGGATAGAGCTGGGGAGATTTATCCTGCCAAGGCTGACACTGATGTGCCRCCAAGTKGGTTGGGGTGGCTTGTCTTARCTACCAGGGTGAGACCTGAGGTACATGTAGTGTGGGCTTTCTTGAAACCCTGAACCGGACCAAATTTCAGTATTGCCCTGGACCTTGGAGACAAATGGGCAAAACTAGAATGTTACACCTAACCCCTAGACTCGATTATGGTACTACACTAGGTGTCGGATTGGGCTGTCTTTGATATGCCAATCAGCGAGATCCTTAGGGGGGTCAAAACCTAGGTATGTTAGGGTAGTCCGAGCATTCACCTGAGTGGGTGATCATAGTGATAGGATCAGCCCCTTTGTCGGACAAAATGAATTATCAGGGAATGCACTATCTCTGATGGAAACCTAAACTACCGGCAGTTGATTTCAAACTAGTTGAGATTTGTTTTGCAAAATATATTTATATAGAGATATACATATATTATGGTTTCACAAAATATTTGCAAAAGGTTTTAATTCTCAGGATCCATGTGAGTAGAGAGTGCAACACTATACCTTGCAGCCGAGGGAGAGGTCCTCTCTTATCAGGCAGTGTTTGATCATTATGGGCTGAGAGATCAAATGTAAGACCATTGAGGGTAATACCTAATGGGCTAATATTGCATCTGCCCACAGTCCTTGGGCCTTCATAAGGTAGGACCCAATGACCATTTAGTGTAAATGTTGGACCCATTAAGAGCCCATACTAATGGACTCAAGGGTTCACTGTGTTCTGTAGTAAATTCGGCCAGGCCTTGTAACAAAGGCTGGGCTGAACCCATGTGGCTGATGTGTAGATCAATGCTAAGGTCCCACGCCATACAAAGAGAGCAAAGTTAGCAGCATTTAAAGGGAAAGTGAGCTATGTGACTAAATGGGCCTAAAGCCCATTTCAAACTGAGCTTAAGTGAGTTAATTAAAAGGGGGCGAATTCTGATTTATAATCTGATAAGGATTAGCTAAAGGATAAACCTTATCCATTTAAGAGTCCAGATCCAAATATTAGATTTGGATCAAGAAACTCTTTCCTAATTGGATTAGGAAGTTAATCCAAAGAAGGCTATAAATAGGGGGCAAATTCACCAGTTTATGCATTCAGCAATCTGCAGAATTCTTCCCCAGTTCTTGTTACCCCTACCCAATTCGATTTCCACTCTTGGATCTGATCAAGAATAGTTCTTGATATTGTTTCTTGCTAGAAGAAACAATCTAAAGTCGTGCTCACCTGCCCCTTGCGTGATTCTTGCTAAAGAATTAGGGTTCTTGTTGAAGAACCACTTTGTTGATCCTGCCTCATCATACGCTATGTCATCTTCAGTGGAGAAGGGTTTTGGTCACCTCTTTGGGCATGAACACCTATGTTGGGAGTTACTGTTATTCTGTATCAAGTGCATCCCTACTTGCTTCCTTTTGGTTTCAGATTTGGTCCGGTTTGTTTCAAGAACGAACTTTGAAAATTCAGTTTTCTAAATTAGGGAATAGAATTCCCAGATGGGAGAAAGAAATTTTTGAAATTTCACCCGGCCACCCCACATGGTTCGACCATCCATATGATGGATCTCCCATCCCTTCATAAAGAATGTTTTGGTGGGAAGGGAGTTCAGAAGGAACCTCTTCTCAGGATCGCATATTGTCAATTCAAGAGACAAAGCTGGGAGGCAAAGAGAAAAAGGAGCATTTCGTGGAGAAGGCCAGACTGCCAAGCTGGCCGACAGAAGGGAAGGTAACATTAAAGGTGGGTGCTGAGTGTTTTTACCTTGTATCTGATGGGCAGGGGAGATAAAATGGAAGCAGTTCTTAGATGCTTGTCTAGTGGGGATGGTGGAAACGAAACTTACAGTGGAGGAATTGCAGAGGTGGGCTTCAAGGAATAGGTCAAGACCTGGTTCAAAAGGATACCCCTTTGGAGCTGGGCCAACCACATTTCGGTTTGAACTCAATACTAGGCCAGAGTGGAGGAAGTCTCTCTGACTTAGGAAGTTCACTAAACACCCGTAGAGACCAAAACCAAAAGGAAGAAGCAAGGCATCTTGGATCTGTTGCTGACTCAATGCTTAATCAAGTGGAAGCAGGGTCCGCAATAGACAAAGTTCAAGGGGATCGCCAAAGCTTGACTCCATGAGGAGGGGTAGCTGAAGCTGAGGAATCAATGGAATCAGGAAAAGATCAAAGGCAGATGGAGATCTCTATAGTTGAACATGAAATTTTGAGCTCTCCAGTTGGAACCATGACCTTGGATGAGGTTCCAGTGGATCAACCTTTAGTAGTGATTCCGACAGGTGAGTGGCCCCAAACAGATACGCATTTGCAGGGCTTGGGGAAGCTGAACCAAGGAAGATTGCAGCTGATCCCTAGTGTGACTGGTGTGACTTGGAGGATCCATCTCTATGGGTGTTACCCAAGATGTTGAGCTTCTGAGAATTCTTGGGGGTCTCAATGAAGGGTTTGGAGGAAGAAGCAAAGTTTTTCTTAATGGAAGTTGAAAAAAGGGTGCTGGAAGAGAGGGGAAGAAAAGGGAGGAAAATGGAAAGGGAGTTGTTTAACTATCTTGGGGTTTAAACAATAAAGTAGGCACCCCTTGAGGGGGTGGAAGAGCCAAAAGAAGATGAAGAATAGGGTATAGGGGGAACAAAGTCTCTCGAGAATTCTACCCAAAACCATTACCATGAAAATTATCTCTTGGAATGTAAGAGGCCTAAATTCAGGACGAAGGAGGGTCGTAATCAGTGCCTATATCAGAAAATGGAATCCCAACATACTATGCCTTCAGGAAACAAAGATGGAGACAATGGAAGCAGCAGATATCAGATCATTGTGAGGAGTCAGAAATTGTGAATGGGCAAGTACTGTCAGCAATAGGCACTGTGGGAGGCCTAGTAATAATTTGGGATCCAGATGTTTTGAAGTTGACAGACAAAGTAGTCAGTCAGTTCTCTCTCTCTATTCTCTTCCGTTTTTGCGAAGATGGGTGGGAATGGATTTTTTCAGGGATGTACAGACCAAATGAGAATGCACTAAGGAGATTCTTTTGGGGGGAATTGGATGAGGTGAGAGGTAGCTGGGAGAAACATTGGGTGGTGGGTGGAGACTTCAACACAATTAGGTATGCACATGAGAAGAAAGGTGGGATAGGATGCCAAGAGGGGCGAGGGGTTTTGCAAACTTCATAAGCTGATGGGATTTGGTGGATATTCCTTTGTTGGGGTCTAAATACACTTAGACCAATAACCAGGAAGATCTAACTTAAGTGAAGCTTGATAGATTTATGGTTTCAACTGAGTGGGAAGAAAAATTTGGACAGTTATTGCTAGAAGCCCTTCCCCGTCCCCTATCCAGTCACACTCTTATCTGTTTGGATAGCAAAGGGATCCCCCCTAAACCTTCCCTCCTTTCAGATTTGAAAATCTTTGGTTGGAAGAGGATGGTTTTGTGGGGTTATTGGAAGTCATATAATCGGCAAGAAACTGAAAGGTTTAAAGGAAAAGTTAGAAGTTTGGAGAAAATTGGAATTTAAAGGAGTGGAGGTGAAGAAGAAAGAGTGTTTAGACATCATTGTTGAAGTGGATAGACTGGAAGAAAACTCTCAATTATCAGAAGAAGATAGAAGAAGAACTAAGGCCAAAATAGAGTTTGATAAATTATCATTCCAAGAGGAAATTAAATGGAGGTGAAGATCAAAATGCTTGTCGCTGAAGGAGGGTGAGTTACAATAACCTCCCTGATGAGTTACAGACAGTAACCTCTTCCCAATAAAAATAAAAAAAGAAAAAAAAAACAAACAGAAATACTTCTGATGAGTTACAATAACCTCCCTGATGCAATACATCACTAAAAATACAACTTTCCACGGTTTTACTGCAAATTTTCCATACAAGAATAACCAAATTCTAATATCACCATACGGTTTTGGATCTACATCTTTTTCTTTTTTTTTATAAACTACATCTTTTTTCTTTTCCCTTCAGACAATTCTTGATCTTTTAACCGACAAGCAATAAAATGTATGTTTACCACTAATGTGAAATTAATATGAAATTTCACTGATATTGCCAAAAAGAAGAAAATAGCATAACATGACCAGTTTCAAAAGTTAGCATGACTAACTCTTACATAGATGGTGTTACTGAAGCTTTTCCAGATCTGGCCTTTGGTCAAGTATCTTTTCTGTCGAACCATCAGGAAATGCATCTGGATAGGTAGCCAAGATCTTCCCTTTCATGCTTCTGTTATTAARATTATCAATACTAAATCAATATCAAGAACACAACCTTTTGGAAAAGAAGATTATCAGTAAATAATGAAGGTTCAAGACTTCAAGAGTATTCTCCTTCCGAGGAGATTATTAGACCCAGTGACACAACTAAACAAACAAAATGTCTGAAATGTAATCTCAATATAAAAGAGGGAGGCATGCAACTTAACTTGGTAACATCAAAGGATTAATAAAAAGAAATAATGGAGGTTCAAGTACATCTGAAGCATTGTATTGAAAGAATAAACTGGACCTATGGTAGGTTTTCCATCAACAATAGGAACTAAAACTATGATGATTAAGTTTTCTATCATTCATATTAGGATACCTGTTTTGTCATGTTTGTTTCACCTACAAAGTCTCAGCCAATTGAAAAACCTTCTATCCCTCATATTAAGTTACAACAACCAGAAAATATTCTGAGGTTAATTAATTCAGCACTTGGAGAATTAATAGCCACTCAACATTGTTGCCAATACAGCAATGGGGAAATAGTTGTTTTAGTTTCCTTGTATGGTAAAAATAAAATTTCATTAAAAGAAAACAAAATGTACAACCTAATAGGTGATAAGGTATCACCACATACAGCTTGAAACAAACTACAAAAAGCATTCAATATAATTCTCCACTTTACAAATTTGAAACCCCAGAACTTCCCCAAGATCCTCCCTCGTGATTTGTCTAAATTCTGGTAACAGTAACACCCAATCTGGCATCAGATTTGCGACAACTTCCACAATTTTATCCAAACTGTGTTTTGTCTTCAAAAATTCTTCTGTTTCTTTCCTTCCATATGTTCCAGCAGATTGCAAATGGAATGCAGCTCCAGATCGCCTTTTGCTTTCTTGCTTCCTCTTATCTTTGGCCCCAAACATAGCAGCAAACAGCCTCCACAAAAAGCCAGAAATCTTGCACAAATAAATGACTAACATTTTCCTCTTGCTATTTACATAGGAAACACATATTGGCCATATTGAACCCCTTAGATTTCAGATGGTCCACAGTCAAGATGCTACCCATGGCCATAAGCCATGCAAATGCTTCTGTTGAGTTTTGGGCTGATAACATTTGTTTTTATTTACAAAGCATAGTTAGAAAAAAGATGGGAATGTTATCTTCATCAACTAATTGGCCAACAAAAATCAGATTTGTAGTGAGACTAGGAACAAGTAAGGTCTTGGTAAGAGGGAAAGATGTAGTGGGTGAAAGATTAAGAGACAGGTCATTACTAGCAATGATGTTTAACTTTTCACCATTGGCAGTAACAATATGTTTGTGATGGGTTTCAGTAAGGTCACTTGGTTGGTCAGGGTAGGCTCCTGTCATATATGATTGGTAGCTCCAGAGTCAATGATCCAAACATGAGAAGGAGAAGAACAATAACTAGAGAACTCRCCAGGTAAGCCAATAGTAGAAAAGGCAGAAGAAATAGCAGATGTTACCAGTTGTCGAAGGTTTTCCCTAACCATAGATGCTAGAGAATCACCTTTAACAAAAGAATCACCACCAGTAGTAGATTTCTTACTCCCATGTGCTACAGCAGCAATGCCAATCCCATAGGCCATTTCAGCAAGAAAGCAACAGTCCAGACACAAGGATATCAGAGAACCAAATTCAGCAACAGTTCCCTCTAGTCCAGGACGAAAGACAAGTACTCCAATGCTAGAGAAGGTCAAGGGAACCCAATAAAATACCATAAACAGCTTCAGCAATCAAGGACTTGAGTTGACAGTCCAAAAAAGGCAAGTTTTAGGATTGTCRAATCTAAAATCTCTCAAATTTTGAAATCTGAAACAAAGAAGGGAAGCAAGAAAACCCTAGGACGAGACCAGATCTACTGTTATAGGTTGATCGATTCAGGCCGATTGAGAGATAATTGTGGTTTACCAACATATCAAGTGTCTTTTCCAAGAACAGAGAAGTATCTTGTGCTGATCGAAACAGCCCTTAGAAGATTCCAAACCAGAAACTGAGTGTAAGGATAAAAAGAGCTTGAAAGAACCCTTCAAGTTAGAGAGTATTGCCGCCCCAAGATGGCCTGAAATACAAAGTTGTTGCAGTCCAAAAAAGGAAACTGTATAGTATTGCTGCCCCAAGAAGAAGATCAGAACTCCTTCAAAAACTTCACCCAATCAAATGTTGTTTGTAGGGAGAATAGATCAGGTCTAGCCAACACCAGATCTGAAGTTTGGCCTCGAACCAAAGTCTCCCAAGAGAAATCTAATAAAATCTCTCCTGCTGGTTGCACAGAGAAGACTTAACAGAAAAGGGTTGATCAAAACAGCCCCGATACAACAAGATTACTACTTCTAGTGAGGTTCAAAAGAGAGAGAGGATAGATCAGAGAACAACCTGCTCTGAAACCATGTCAACACTCTGGCTGAATAGAGAAAAGAATAAGAATAATTTTAGAGGTGTCAAGAATGAATTCACCCCCACCTCAAAGAGTCTTTTATATATTAAAAGATATGTACAATTACAAGAATGCCCATATAGGGCTGAAAGAGAAAAAAGAATAATATACATAAGGGACTATACTAATAAGATACATTAAGTCACAGAGTCTCCACAAGTAGTAACTGGGAAATATGGGGTAGTGAGGTTTGGTTGGGAGTCAAGAGAAGTCTCAAATTCCTATGGGGTGAGTGTGTGGAAGGGGATAATGAATTTTAATAGAGATTTCAAAGCATTGGTCAGGTGGGGGGAGGGGTCAAGAATGAGATTTTGGGAAGACAATTGATGTGGGCTGGGGAAGCTGAGGGAGGTTTGTCCAAGACTTTATAGGCTCTATGATCAGCAGGTGAGGGTGGATCAATGCTTTGAGATGAGAGGAGGCCAAGTGGTGTGGAGCCCAAAGTTTAGAAGGCCATTAAGAGATCATGAGATTTAGGAATGCTTGCTGCTGTTAGAAAAGCTATAACAGGTTGATGTTTCTACTGTTGCTAGTAGGGGTGGCTACAAGCCGAGCACTTCACGAGCTACTCGAGATCGGCTTGGCTCAGTTTCAACCGTGCTTCGAGCCGAGCTCGAGCCCAATTTATAGGCTCGTTTATTAATCAGGCCAAGCTTGAGCCTAATAAAGCTCGGCTCGTGAGGCTCGCAAGGCTAATAAAATTATTATTATTTTTTTTTTCATATATAATAATAACTAATTATTATAATTCTTAATTTTTTAAATATCAAATAAAAAGTATTTTTTATATATAATTTTTTTTTATTTTTATAAAACATTTTTCTCAAGTTGAGCTCAAGCTAAAGCTCGAGCTCAAGGTTCTAGCTCGAACTGAGCTCTAGCTCAAGGTTCTAGCTCGAATAGCTAGCTATTCGGCTCGGCTCGAATCCACCCCTAGTTGCTAGAGACGGTCTGTGGTGGAAAGAATGCAAAAATGAAATTTTCACTGTGAAATATTTTTACTTAGCTTTGATAAGGTAGCAGATGACTGCAGATCAGGTGGACGGAGTGGGGGAATCCTACCCCTCCTAGGGTGGAGGCCTTTGCATGGTTGGTGTCGCTGGACAGTATTTTAACTTCTGACCACCTGAAGAATAGAGGTTTCTACATGGCAAGTATATGTTACCTTTGCTGCTCGGATGAGGAAACAGCCTTCCACCTGTTCTACACATGCAAGATGGCTCATATCATTTGGAGTTTCTTCTACTTTTTATTTGGAGTGAATTTATTTCAGCCTTTGTCCACGACTGAGTTATTTTCCTCCTGGCCAAGATTCAATAGGTGCAAGAAAGCAAAGATTGTTTGTAGCTGCATCCCTTTCACGGTTTTCTGGGTCCTATGGAATGAGAGAAATAGAAGGATATTTGAGAACAAACAGAAGAAAATTCAAGGTCTTTTAGCCTTGACTGTAAATCTGGTCTCAGATTGGGTTTTGGTGCATCCAGACTTCAATCAGATTAGTAGAATAGAGCTGGGGAAGAATTTTTGGAATGTTCTTGAGTTACAGTCTTGTAATCTTGATCAGCTCTGCTGTTACTGACTTTTCTAGTGTAATGTAATGTTATCTAGGTTGGGAGCTAGCTTAACACCCCCCGGATGTATGGCTCTTTTCTTTTTAATGAAATTTTTATTCTGATTCCTCAAAAAAAAAAAACATTTTTGCTCTCTTTGGGTGCAGGAAGATCCCTCATTTAAATCTCTTGAGCTCAAGTTTCCTAAGGCAACTGAAGCAAAGAGGAAGAGTAATGTGAAAGGCAGTTAGAGAAGCAGTAGTGTGGACTATTTGGGAAGAAAGGAATGAAAGAATCTTCAATGAAATAAGTAGGCTCAAGGAGGAAGAGTAATGTGGAAGGCAGTTACCCAAGGAGGAGAAAATAGACACTATAAAGATCAAACTGACACATTGGGTAAAGACTAGGGAAATTTTTCAAGATTTTTCAGTGAATGATAAAATAAGAAAATGGGCTGGAGTAGCACAACCCTCAAAAGGCAAAAGACAGGTTGGTTATGGAATGGCAATCTCCTCCAAGTAATATGCTAAAGTTGAACTTTGATGCGAGTTCTATGGGTAACCCAGGGCCAACATGTATTGGTGGGAAGGGGGGGGTATTCAAAGGCACCATAGGAAGTGTGGTGGCCATGTATTCAGGACCTATTGGAGTGGGAGATTCCCTGAAAGCTGAGCTGATGGCCTTACTGCAAGGCCTAAGACCAGCAAAGCAATCAGACTCTCAAAATCTGGAAGTAGAGAGGGCCTCAAAGTTAACCATCACTTGGGCAAAAGGCCTATGGGCTATGCCAAGTCCCTTGGATTTACAGGCTTGTCTTGAGGGAGATTGATTGCTTATCAAGGGAGTTAAACACTTCCTACTTATGAGCCAGAAGAACTACAAATGGGATGGTGAATTCTAGCAAAACAAGGGCTTAATAGACATCAGTTATTTTGGGCACTAATGTAAATCTTATGTATTTGGGTGGTTGTATTATCTCCACAAGATGTACTAAAATTCTCTCATTGA